TCATGTGATGCTAATTGTCACACGATACAATATATAAAAATCAACAATTAGATTGTTTATTTTTATATATTTTACCATGTGACAATTAGCATCACATGATTACGGCACCAATCACTAACCTCAACATCGATCTACTCTTTTACAACATACTATCTATAGTTTCCCAATAATAATACAAAAAAAGAAATAATAAACTGACCAACAAAATAAGATAAAAAGAAATAATAAACTGACCAACAAAATAAGATAAAAAGAAATTGAGAAACAGCACACCGAAACTCTTCACAGTGTCTCTTAATTTGAAATATAGCCATACCCTTCGTGATATTATCCTCCTGGTATAATCAAGAAAGATTAACTGTTTCTTTTAAATATAAGTTCAATTGGATATGGTGACATTTGATTTTGAATTTTTAATCCATCTTTATGTATACTATTTGGTGCTAATGAGATTTCATATTTGCGCACTATAAAAAACGTTTATTTAATATACATCTATGCACTCCTATAAAATTATATAAATATTATAGTTGAAATACTTACATAACAAACATAACACGATTATTTGTTCAATAAGAGAAAAGTTATTTCCTAAACACCTAATATTTTTAATAAAAGATTATAATCATTAAAAATTACGTATACATTATATTTGTAAATAATGCAATTGAAATAATAATTAAAGAACAAACTAACATTCTAGTTCCACCACCAAAAGCCAACCAAGAATAATTTTCACCAGTTGTGAATTCATTTTCAAATCTCTCAGATAAAAATTCTTCAGGATTATCCCAAAGTTTTGGTGAATGATGTATTCCATATATAAATAGTTCAATAAGTGTACCAGCTGGAATTGTAAAATTTTTAAATCTTAAATCTTCAGTTAATTTACGATATTGTAGAGATGGAGCCTTTATTTATTAATAGTAGCAATAAAAATTAGAAATGTTATAGTTAGTGATGATTTAATTTAAATAAATTAGAGTATAAAATTATATTTACTAGTGGATACATTCTAAGGTTTTCATGAATAATCATATTTAAATATTTTAATGATTTATGTTGTTCAGCTGATGGTATTAAATTGTCACCAAGTATTCTTAATACTTCTTCTCGAGCTTTTTCTTTAATATTCTATATAAAGATATACAGATGCTTAATAAATATAATAATAATTAATAATTACAGTATAATAATTAAATATCTTACTTTATAAGTTGATAATAGATATAAAAGAGTTGATAAAGCATTTGCCGCTAATTTATAAATAAATTTGTTAGAACATTATAGTATTAGAGAAATTATAGATATCTTTTAATATAAGAATTAGGTACATATATACTTACTTGTTTCATGACCAGCAAGCATAAAAATTGCTAGATTATGCTATTTAATTTATCTAATTAAAAATTGATTTGCAGTAATAAAATAAATAAAAAAAACTTTTTCTTAACTTACTCTTAGATCAGCATCTGATAACATTTGATTATCAAGATTTTCATTAGCATTTAGCATGAGTTCTAAAAGATCTCCTTGAAACTTTCCAGCAGCTAAAGCTTTATGCTTTTCTTTAATGATTTCATTAAATATATTATTTAATTTATTAACTTTTTTAAGTCTTTTTTGTTTTATTATTGGAATACGATCAATTGGAAAAAACAAAGATAATGGACCTAATATTGCCTTTTGAACTTCATTATAAGTTGTTACATAAACACTATTTGGATTTCCAAGACTCTAATGCAAATACATAATTATTAGGATATAGAATTGATAAGTTATCTGTAGTTAATAATTTTTATTAACACTTACATTAAAGTCAAAACCAAAGGCAACTTTTCCAAGAACATCTAAAGTGAATCTATAAAAATCAATTTTATAATAGTGGCTTAAAAAAGAAATATCAATAAAGAATAAATTTTTTTTACCTTTGCATTAAATTTTTAATTTCAACAGGTTTTTTATCAATTGTTTCAATCATCTTTGATGCAATTTCTGCAAAAAGATGTAATGGTAAAGTTTTGAATGCAGGATTGCACACACGCTAAATAGAATTAATATCATTAGTAAATTAAAAGAAATTTTGAGGTTGAATCTGACAATTTACTAAAGCTGCGATTTATAATATTTTTTATATAAGTATAGTGGCAAATAAATCAAGTTTAGTTAATGCAGTACATAAAAAGATTGATATATATTTAATGAAATTCATAATACAAAATCCTAACAGCTAATTAAATTGAAAATTATAGCAATAAAGTTCTTTATAATAAAATATTTTATAATATTGAACAAACTTATATGTATCTTGATAACCACCTGACCAAATTCATAAACCTTTTTTGTTTCAATTCTACGGGTATATAGAATTCAGATAAAAAAATTATTATTGAATTTAGTCAAGGGTCAAAGAGATATCTTCGCTCAAAAATTAAAGAAAAATCTAACTGTCTATAAAATAGAAGTTATGCCAAATTTTCTTTCTAAGTTTGAGCTAAGATATCTCGTTAACTATTTAATAAAATTCGATAAAACTTTTTTATTTAAATTCTATGGATTCATAGAATTCAAATAAAAAAAATTCAATCAAGTGTTTGTTGAGATATCTTCGCTCAAAGAAAAAATCAAAATGCGTATCAAAATAGAATCTTCGACAAATTTTCTTTCTAACTTTGAGCTAAGATATCTCGACATCCACTTGACTAAATACAATAAAATTTTTTTATTTAAATTTTGTGAATGCATAGAATTGAAATAAAAAATTTTTATTGAATTTGGACAGACCGTTATCGAGATATCTTTGTCAAAGTTAGAGAGAAAATTCATATTTTGATAGGCGTTTTATTTTTCTCTAATATTGAGCGAATATATCTCAATAGCCAAATTCGATGAAATTTTTTTTATTTGAATTCTATGAATCTATAGGATTTAAATAAAAAAAGTTTTATCGAATTTGGTAGGATAGTTATCGAGATAGCTTCACTCAAAGTTAGAGAGAAATTTGACGCAGCTTCTATTTTGATGGGCGGTTTGATTTGTTTCTAATTTTGAGCGAAAATATCTCGACAACCACATGGCTAAATTCGATGTGATTTTTTTTATTTGAATTCTATGAATCCATAGAATTCAAATCTAAAAGGTTTTATCAGATTCAAGCAGGTAGCTGTCGATATATGGGTTCTTTGCCTTGAAAATGACCTTACGGTACATGATACCGTAAGGTCATTTTCAAGGCAAAGACCCCATAT